CCAAAGCCCAAACTCCACACAACCAACCGATTAAATCCAAACCAGTCTCAGTGGCACAACCCTACCATCACCCGACTAAACTACATCGTCTAATCCGAGTTCTAACCGATTAAAACCTCTTTCTACTCATCAAACCAACTTCTAACCTAAGTGGAAAAAGAGTAGAAACTCTACAAAATCCAAACACATACACATACAATCATATACATTAAAGAGATGATGGAGTTTCACACCCTTACCGATCGATTGCAAGCTTTGGTGATGATCCCTTGATGATTCTAGGTTTTCCTCTCCACTTTCTTTTCTCTTTCTCTTCTCCTCTTTTCTCTCTCTTGTTTTTCTCCTTATGTTACTATTTTTCTTTCTTTTCCTCTCTTATTCTATTTCTATCTCTATTTCTTTCCTCTCAAATTCTTTCCAACACTTACCAATCAATTCTCACACTAAATTGCTAAATGTCTAAAATGCCTTTTTTACTCTAATTTCCCGAAAACTCTCCGAATCGGTAAAAATAGATAAAATAAGCAAACACCACATAGTAATATATAATTTCTCAATTTAAAACAAACATCAATTAAATAAATTAAAAGACTCAACAATTAATGGGAATTCAGAATCGGGGCGTTACAGAGAGAGCAGCTCTTCAATTCACTATACTCATAAAGTTGTTACAAGAGATTACAGATGAGTTACAAGAAAATAGTCTTCGCCTTCAGGTTCCCAAGAACAACCCTGAAGGCGCACAAGAACAACCTTATTTTCTACCGAAGTGTTTACCTACCTCTCCAACTCTCAATATATGAATCACTCAAACTCAAGGTGTAATCCAAGGTTTTCTTTGTGCATAGCTGAAACCCTATGATATACCTTTAAACCCTTGATCTCCCTTGTTAGTGAAAACTCTAAAACTATCACACACCAAGCATATAAGAAATACATGTTTATAATAGCAAATACCCAACAAATAAAGCCCAAAATCACATAGATCCATGGACCAAATCAAAAAAGTCCGAAAACTAGAAAACACTATTCATCGTACAGACACACTATTCATCAATACAGATGCCACTATTCATCCGTACGGATAACACTATTCATCTACCAATTTTTTTTCTTTGAATTTTCGTCAGACTTTCTAAAACTTTTGATTTTTGCGGTAAATGCAATCTCCAAAATATATTTTCTTTCTCTTCATCAACAAAGGTTTCAAGGCACATTTACAACAATCTCCACCTTGACTTTAAACCGTGTTGATACCAATTTAACAACCAACAACATTGCTGCTCTCTACCAAGTTGAAACTTTAATCAATAACTTTGATCAAATTCAAGAAACCCTTGAATCTTGATCTCGCAACTTGTATCCACTTGTTCCTAATTACCCTTTTCTGCCTAGGTAATTTAACAAGCCTACAAATATGATTTTTCAACCACCCGTGACTCCACATGTTTTCAAATGCCTCCCTGAAGGTTTTTCTTCTTTTATTTTGTAGTCCTTCAGCCACATTAAAAACATAATATCCAAGGCTGGCATAACCGTCCCTTTGAGATACTACAATAACCCTCCTTACCTTATCATGAGTCAAATGATAATCAGAGATCTCTGTAACCGTTCCCTCACTACTGCTAGCATCCATAGTAGGAAACTCCACCTTAAAATGAGTTTTCTCCGTTATAGTTTCTCCCAGGTTTCTCCCTTGGTTTTCACTATTCTTCTTCTGAAGAAATTCTTTACCAACCAAGTAAGTTGTTTTAACCTCAGCTCTTCCCCAAAAACTCAATAACAACTCAGCAGTAACATGCATTTTTATCCCTTGATTTCTGCAAAATTCATTGTACTCCTCTGAAAATTTCTCAAGGCATTCATAACGCCTTAAACTCAAATCCCATAGCTCATCCTTGTCATGAAAGCCCCCACTAGTTAATGATGAAATGAATAATAACATTTGAACCTTCTAAAATATATAGACCACATGTTTTAGATCCTTTAGCAATAATTAATTCATCACACGAAATCTTCAACACTTCATGTTCAACTCTAGTACAATAGCCTAGATCATTAAACATACTTATAGATAACAAATTTCGCTTGAATTCTGGAACATACCTCACGTTGTGAATAAGAATTTCACGATCATTAAACATTTAAAATCTGACCGTACTAACACCATGAACCTTGCAAGCCTTATTATTACCAAGACGAACTACTCCACCTTGCACCATCTTTAAAGTTTCAAAGTATTCTATTCTTGGACACATGTGATAAAAGAAACCTGAGGAAATGACCCAACTATCTTCAGTTTCCAAACTCGATACTACTAGTGCTTCAGCATCCTCATAATTTTCCTCACCCAATGCAACTACAGCTTGAACAAAATCTTCATTGACCTTTCTTTCAGGACAATCCCTTTTAAAGTGACCGATTTTCTGAAAATTAAAACATTTTACCTTTGACTTTTCAGACCTCTTTGATTTGGACATCCCTTTACGCTTTCCTCCTCCTCTTTACACATTTAAGCCTTCGCCACTTTCTTCAATCTTCAAATCTTTCGATTTTGAAAATTCTTTGGATTTCACCGCCGCCTGGACTTCATCCAAAGTAATAGTATCTTCCTTACCATAAAGAAAGGCATCCTTAAAGTGCTCAAAGGATCTGGTAATGAACTCAACAGGAGCAAAGCCTTGTCCTCATCATCAATCTTCACTTAAATATTCTCAAGATCATTGATAATCTTGTGAAATTCTGTGAGCTGCTCAACTATGGATTTGTTGTCCACCATTCGGAATGAATAAAGTTGTTATTTCAGATACAAATTGTGAGCCAAAGACTTTATCATATACAATGATTCAAATTTACCCACATAGCAATCGCTGTTTTCTCCCTGGCGACTTCTCTTAAAACTTTATCCCCGAGGCACAAGATAATGGCACTCCTGGCCTTATCCACCATCTCGGTCTTTTGTACCTATGTAAGCCCTACAAGCATCAATGCTTCACTCTTCAACATATCGATACACTCCTCTTGAATTAAAATTGCTTGCATTTTAATTTCCCATAACCCAAAGTCGTTGTTACCGGAAAATTTCTCGATCTGCCATCTACTAACCATGGTGCTCACTTGTCAACAATATCTCTTTGCTCCACGCTCACTGCACCACTTGTTGTGAATTACGAAAAAATTCAATATCAATTTGTGAGGCAAAGAACAATAGCGACAAAAATAAATGGTCTACAACAATAATAATCTGTACACAAATAATATAACATAATGAGATAAGAAAAAACAGAAAGTTTGTTTACCCAGTTCGATCAAACGATCTACTCTGGGGGAGAGAGCAACTCTCCAATTTAATATACTCAGAAAGTTGTTACAAGAGATTACAGATGAGTTACAAGCAAATAGCCTTTGCGTCCAGGTTCCTAAGAACAACCCTGAAGGCGCCCAAGAACAACCCTATTTTCTACTCAAGTGTTTCCCTACCTCTCCAACTCTCAATATATGAATCACTCAAACCCAAGGTGTAATCCAAAGTTTTATTTGTGCATAGCTGAAACCCTATGATATAACTTTAAACCCTTAGTCTCCCATTGTTGGTGAAAACTCTAAGATTGTCACACACCAAACATATAAGAGATACATATTTATAATAGCAAATACCTAACAAACAAAACCCAAAATCACATAGATCCATGGACCGAATCAAAAAAGTTTGAAAACTCGAAAACACTATTCATCGTACGGACACACTATTCATCAGTACAAACGTCACTATTCATCCGTATGGATAACACTATTCACCGACCGATTTTTTTCTTCGATTTTTCGTCAAACTTTCTAAAACTTCCGATTTTTGCAGTAAATGCAATCTACAAAATATATTTTCTTTCTCTTCATCAACAAAGGTTTTAAGGAACATTTACAACAACATACATTGAGATGTCACATCATTTCTTGTCAGAAAGACATCAGAGCACCAAAAGACTAAAGCGAAAATATAGTTTGAAGATGGATGAAATTTCACCACAGCCGTCACCCATTTTGTAAATCCTATCTACAAGAGCATCAAAAGACGAAACCCAATTCTTATGAGCCAAACTTAGGGGCAACTATTACTACTAAAGCCGAGGTAAAAAGAATATCAATATATTAAAATATTGGGTTAGGGGTAAAGGAATGGCTCAATAAAAACAAAGATCATGATTGCTCTTCCTCAGCCTTAGCTTCAAAGTTTGACCCAAAGCATAAAGTTTAGTAAAACAAAGATATTTACGACGACATGATGTTAGGGTAGCAATGTTAAAAGAGAAAATATCATCCTTACACCTATCATCCATAAGAAGGTTATAGGATTTAGAGAGCAAACATATATTTGTCCTAGAAATACACTTGATCCAAGCAGATGATTGAAGAAGGGAGCAAACTATTTGCCTTAAAAAAACACATGATCCAAGTAGATGATTGAAGAAGGGTTGTCAGATGACACAACAAGTTATATTTCCACATTGGTCCATTTAAGAGGGAAAAATGTCATCTATCTCCAAAAATCCTAGAGAAAACTCGATGTAAAGAGTCACAATGATCAAATCAAGATATCCATTCTCAAATATCTAAAAACATTATCCCTTACCTTATTCATTTCCTAACTTGGACACCCAAATGTTTACATGTACCACCACCCTCCATTTCTTCAAAACTAAAAGAAACTTTTGAAGAAGAAATACTATTGGACTTTGTCATCTTATCATTCTCCAACTTACCATTAATTTTTTTATCCGGATAAAATCAAGTATAAAAAAAATAATTACTTTAGAATTTGCCTATTTTTTAATTACTTTTACTATTTCATTTTTTCAATGTATTTTAAATAAAGGTATTGTTATAAAAAGACTTTTAATGCATAATAAATTTTGCAAAAGTGTTTTATATTAAGAGGGAAAAAAAAAGAAAAGAAAATTTGTCCTATAATTAAAAATGGAGGCAGCTTGATTTGAGAATAGCTTATGGAAAGGTGGAATTTTTTAGTCAAGTTATTGGAAACTTGTTGCACTAAATTATCAATTTCACAGTTGCATTCACACTGTTATAAAGTGGGTCTTGTTCATGATAGCTTCATTGTTACCAAGCTCAATGTTCTATATGCTAGATATGCTTCAATTCACCATGCACATAAGCTGTTTGAAGAAACGCCTCACAAAACTGTTTATCTATGGAATGCTTTGCTTAGAAGCTATTGTTGTGAGGGAGAATGGGTAGAGACATTGTCTTTATTCCGTCGAATGAATTATATTAGTTCTATGTCAATTGAGGATAGTTTAAGACCTGATAGTTACTCGGTATCTATTGCGTTGAAATCCTGTGCGGGTTTGCAGAAGCTTTTTTTGGGTGAGATGATTCATGGGTTTCTCAAGAAGGTGAGGATAGAGGGGGATATGTTTGTTGGGTCTGCTTTGATTGATTTGTATTGTAAATGTGGTCAAATGAATGATGCTGTGAAAGTTTTTATGGAGTATCCAAAACCTGATGTTGTTTTGTGGACCTCGATTGTTAGTGGTTATGAGCAGAGTGGTAGTCCGGAGCTTGCGCTAGATTTTTTCTCACGAATGGTTGTTTTGGAGAGAGTGAGTCCTGATCCAGTGACGCTTGTTAGTGTTGCTTCTGCTTGTGCTCGTTTATCTGATTTTAAGCTTGGAAGAAGTGTTCATGGCTTTGTTAAAAGAAAGGGTTTAGACACTAAGTTGTGTTTGACTAATTCACTGCTTAATTTATATGGAAAAACTGGTTCTATCAAGAGTGCAGCAAATTTGTTTAAGGAAATGCCTGATAAGGATATTATATCTTGGAGCTCAATGGTTGCATGTTATGCGGATAATGGAGCAGAAACTAACGCATTAGATCTTTTTAATGAAATGTTGGATAAGAGAATTAAACCCAACTGGGTTACTATGGTTAGTGCATTGCGAGCTTGTGCTTACACTTCCAATTTGGAAAAAGGTATGAAGATTCATGAATTGGCAGTGAATTATGGTTTTGAAATGGAAATGACCGTCTCTACAACTTTGATCGACATGTACATGAAGTGCTTTTCACCTGAAAAAGCAGTTGATCTTTTCAATAGAATGCCCATGAAGGATGTAATTGCTTGGGCTGTTTTATTTAGTGGCTATGCTGACATTGGAATGGTGCACGAGTCAATGGGGGTTTTCCGTGACATGTTATCTAGCGGAACTCGACCCGATGCTGTTGCTCTAGTTAAGATTCTTACTGCTGTTTCAGAACTGGGGATTCTTCAACAAGCTGTCTGTTTTCATGCTTTTGTAATTAAAAACGGGTTCGAAAATAACCAATTCATTGGAGCATCACTTATTGAGTTGTATGCAAAATGTAGTAGCATAGAAGATGCTAACAAGATTTTCAAAGGAATGGCATATAAAGATGTTGTTACCTGGAGCTCAATAATTGCAGCTTATGGATTTCATGGTCAAGGAGAAGAGGCTTTGAAACTATTTTATCAGATGGCTAATCATTCTGATACTAAGCCTAATAATGTAACTTTTATCTCAATTCTATCTGCTTGTAGTCATTCAGGTTTGATTAAAGAAGGGATAAAAATGTTTGATATCATGATTAGCAAGTACCAATTGGTACCAAACTCAGAGCATTACGCGATAATGGTTGATCTTCTTGGTCGAATGGGAGAGTTGGATATGGCTTTGGACGTAATTAACAACATGCCAATGCAAGCTGGGCCTGATATATGGGGAGCCTTACTCGGCGCATGTCGCATACATCAGAATATAAAGATGGGGGAAGTTGCAGCTAAGAATCTTTTCGCTTTAGAACCTAATCATGCAGGATATTATATTCTTCTGTCAAATATTTATTGTGTCGACGAAAATTGGCATAATGCTACAAAGCTTAGGAGTATGGTAAAAGAGAATAGGTTGAAGAAGATTATTGGTCAAAGTATGGTGGAGTTAAAGAACGAGGTTCGATGTTTCGTAGCAAGTGATAAATTTCATGATGAATATGACCAAATTTATGAAATTCTGAGAAAATTACATGCTAAAATGAGAGAAGAAGGTTATGATCCTCAATTCCCTATAGAGGAAATGCTATGAGTTCTTGGAATGTGACCTGAAGGTAGTCAGATTGAGGAGAAAAGATTTTGGAGTATGCTATTTTCTGTTACTTTTTGTTTTGGTTTTCAAAATCATTACTTTTGTTGTAGTTTAGTTGTAAATAAATTAAGAGGTTTTGAATAATACACATCATTGTATTGTAAGGTTACAAAATTATTTAAGATGAATGACTAAGATTCATTTCAGAGCTAATCCATGGCAGACAAGGGTATCATGTTCACCTTATTACATTTTTTTCTCTGCACAAGCTAGGATATGAATTTCAATTTGTTGCTTCTTCTGTCCACCCATGTTTCTGAGGTTTGGATGTTGCCCTTCTTCCCTTCAAAACCAGCCTACACGCATCTTATGTTTTGGGCATTGTTTATTACACCTCATGCTTTACTCACAAACTCAAGAATTTTTAAAAAAATACTCTTAGAATCTGGACGCACCAAATATACAACAAACTATTTCAGGAAACACTTCAAATCAAAGGTAAAAAAACCATGTTCGGATTTTGAAATCCAGATGCAGAATTTATGGATATTGAAATTCGGATGCATCCCACCACACCACACCAAACCCAATCTCAAAACCATGTAGAAACAAAGTTAAAAAAGTTTGGATTTCAAAATTCAGACTTACTCCATTTATCACAAACACAAAAGGCACAAGCAATAATGTTAAAGGATTTGTATGGATTTTCAAATCCTGATTCTATACCATTATCGTAAAAACATGAGCAATATCAGATAGAAGATGAAGTATAATATAACTTAACATAAATTATCACACGCAAAATACATAATATAACATAGATCTTTGTTAACCTAAATCAAACATGACTTGTCATCATCGATAGATGGTTCAGACCGTTTCAATATTTTTAGAATATTGGCGGTCGATCTTGCAATTGTCACATCCACCTCGAATGGACTCTTAGTTGTGTCAGAGTGAAATATACTTTACATAACACTTACATTTACTATGTCTTCAACTCAAAATTACTAAACTTCATCTTCCATTATTTATCAATCAAGGATGAACAATACTCGATCTTAACCACTTTTCGATTGTCTGTGTATTGCAAGAGATTCTCTAGTTCAAATTTCACATTTATAACAGGGTTGTCCTATGTGACCCTAAATTCAAAAGGAGGTTCCACGCCGTTGAAGTAAACAAATTCCATGTACCAATATTTTTCCATTCTGGTGCATTTTTGTTAAAAACATATGATGCATATTTATATAAGTTTTAGATCAATATGGACCATGCAAAAGAAATCTTGTCTCAAGAGTTAGTTTTGGAAATTTAAACCCGAATTCAATCATGTACATGAGACGATTTGTCCGAATATTGAAATCCTGATTCACCATATTAAGTACGAAATAACGCAAAAAGAGTTTGTTTGGATATTGAAATTCAGATTCACTCCATTTTCAAAACATATATTGGGTTTGCTTAGATTTTGAAATTCAGATTTGCCCATACAGAGACCAACTTACAAAACTTGTTTTAACAAACAAACATTACTAGTTTTATAAAATACAAAATATTAAGTACAATATTTATATAACTTGTTGTGAAACGATGTCGTCAATAATAGAATAAAATTATGAGATAAAGATTGAGTTTCTTGAACAAACACAAGAAATCCTATTAGGTTTCACAAAGGAAAAGAGTAAAAGGAAGAAGAATAGAGAATTGGTTAAATCTGTTTTACTATTCACTTTCTCAGTAAGGATTCAAAGATTACAAGCGAATACAAACAATGAACCTATCTCAACAATCTGAGAAAACTATTCTATTTATAGACTACGAAACTAACTTAGATTACAAGCTAACTTAACAAGTGAACTTACAAGTAAGACCCAATTCGACATGCTAACAATCCTAACATTTCGACTACTACATGCTTGAGCATAATTTGACTACAGCATACAAGATCAGTATGTGAACAAACTTCAACTTTATACTTAACTTTTTGTCGAATCATGAAGCTACCCTTGTTAACACTAGAGTTCGATCCAAAATACCACAATTCTCCACCTTGGAACAAACTCTACACAAAACAAGGGAACAAACTAGCTTTCGTCATGTAGCTTTATAAACTGCACACAGTGGAAAAACTTGCTACTCGATAATGTGTTGGTGATCATATCAGTAACATTATCATCAGTCAAAACCTTCAGCACTTGAACTTTTCCATGCTCGATTATCTCTCTAACGAAGTGCAACCTCACATCGATGTGCTTGGTTCACTCATGATAGGCTGAATTCTTTGACAAGTGTATTGCACTTTAACTATCACATTTAATAGTGATAACTCGACCTTGAAGTTTCAGCTCCTTAGCAAAATCTTTAAGCCACAATGTTTCTTTCACAGCTTCAGTGAGGGCAATATATTCAGCTTTAGTGGTTGGTAAGACAACAACCTTTTGAAGTGTCGCTTTACAACTAATTGTTGTGTCGAATATAGTAAACACAATACCCAGAAATAGATTTTTTGAAATCCATACAACCTGCATAATCAGAGTTGACAAATCCTTCGGTTTCGAATTTGCTATCAACACCACAGGCTCCACCATAAGTCAGGACTCTTCTTAGAGACCCATTGATGTTCCTAAGAATCCACTTTAATGCTTGCCAGTGTGCCTTCCCAGGATTGGCCATATACCTGCTTATAAGCTCACTCCATATGCTATGTATGGTCTCGTACATACCATAGCATACATCAAAAGCCTACTATACTAGCATATGTGATGCTATTCGTATAAACTCTTCCGATTTCAGTACTAGGACTTTGAGTCATACTCAGATTGTACTGAGAATTAGTCGGTGTTAGAAAAGGCTTTGAATTCGACATACCAAACTTGTTGAGAATCTTCTTCAGGTATGTCTCTTGAGATAAGCATAATCTCGACTGCTTTCTATCTTTCCGGATGTCAATCTCAAGAATTCTGGAGGCAACTCCCAAATCATTCATGTCAAACTCCTTATCGAGTTCAGCCTTTACCTTCATAACATATTCGATACTGTTGCTTGCTATGAGGATGTCATCCACATAAAGCAACAAAATGACAAGTGAATTTCTAGGTCGAAATCTAAACTAAACACAGTGGCCGAACTGGCTCCTTGTGAAACCAATGTGTGCCATGAACTTGTCGAATCTCATATTCCATTGTCGAGGAGATTGTTTCAATCCATAAAAAGGCCTATTCAACTTGCACATATAATCTTCCTTTCCCTTTTCTACATACCCTTCAGGTCATCTCATTAGGATCATTTCATCTAGATCACTATACGGGAAGGCTGTCTTCACATCCATTTGTCAAGTTCCAAGTCTAACTTCACCACCATGACTAACAATATTCTAATGGATCTATGCTTTATAATAGGTGAGAACACATCATTGAATTCGACACCTTATTTCTGATTGAACCCCCTAGCAATCAACCTTGCCTTAAAGCGCTTCGACATCACTCCTTCGATTCTTTCCTTAACCTTAAAAATCCACTTACAATTGACTAACCTGACTCCTGCAGGTTTCTCAATCAACTCCCAAGTGTTATTATCATGAAGAGATTTTATCTCATCATCTATGGCTTTTAACCATTCAGTCTTGTCTCAACTCTTTATAACTTCCTTATAATTTCTAGGTTCTTTATCAAGGACCTCACTTGCAGAAGTTAAGACATAAGCTATGCGATCTGCATAACTAAGTCTCTAAGGTGACTTGATGACTCTTCTTGACTTGTCTCTTGCTAGCAGGTAGTCATTATTAGTCTCCTCATATTCGACAGTAGCTTCTGCTTCTTCTTTGACTTCATCTGAGTCATGCAATTCAGCATCACTATGCTCCACCTCAACATGAATCTCTCTCTGTTCCAACTTTTCTTCATAAATCTTTGAACTTTGACCAATGTTATTATTTTTCTTGAAAGTCATCTCAAATTCATTAAAAACTACATCTCGACTTGTGATACACCTCCCGTGACCTGGCTCTAGGCACCACAACCTATAAGCTTTAACTCCTTCAGGGTATCCAAGGAACATATATTTCTGAGCTCTAGGTTCGACCTTGTCTTGCCTAATGTGAGCATAGGCTAAGCAGCTAAATACTCTAAGTCTATCGAGACTAGGTGGATGTTCCAACCATACTTCTTTAGGTGTTTTCATTCCCAAGGAAGTCGAGAGACACCTATTTATAAGGTAAGTTGCACTCACAATAGCTTCTGCCCAAAACATTCTTCAATCCCGCACTTACTAACACCCATCTCACCTTTTCTATAATGATTCGATTAAACCTTTCACCCAAACCATTTTGTTGGGGATTCTCTGCAGTAGTTTTATACCTTGCAATACCAAACACAATACAATAGTTGTCGAACGCCTCATTGCAAAATTCAAGAGCATTGTCGGTCCTCAACCTCTTGACCTTCCTGCCAGTTTGGTTTTTGACCAAAGCCTTCCAACTTTTGAAATTTTCAAAAGTTTCATCCTTAGTCTTCTAGATGAATACCCATAACTTTCTAGAGTAATCATCCACTATGGATAGAAAATACTTTTCACCTGAGTGTGAAAGATTTTTTGCAGGCCCCAAAGATTAACATGATGTAATCAAAGGATCCATGTTCTCTTTTTTTACCTTTGTTAAACTTCATTCTACAAGATTTACCAAATACACAAGGTTAAGAAAACTCCAGTTTTTTGACCTTTTCCCCACCTAGCAGATTTTGTTTCGACAATTCAATCAGGCCTCTTTCACTAACATGGTCAAGTATCTTGTGCCATAGCTCAGTCTTCGACACAGGTTTCGTGGAGGGCACACCTTCTGAACCATTTACAACCTCAGTCTCAAGGGTATACAAGCCTTGTTTATTCACGCCTCTCAAGACTTCCTTCGACCCCTTCATTACCCTTAAGATGCTTTACTCTCCTTTGAAAACATATCCTTTCTTTTCGAATTCACCAAGAGAAATAAAATTCCTTATAAG